TAATGTTAAACTAGAAAGTAGGGAACTAAAAAACGTGATACAAATTTGTAACTTACCCTCTGGATTTCCGGACGCAGCAAACTTCACGTACAATGTAAAGGCTACGTACAACCACTTCATGGTACTCAGCGTTCAGTCTTATTCACACCAGGCTGAAGCAACTTGTGGTAATGATTCGCTAAAAGACTTGAAAATTTATCGGAAAGGCTTTCATCTCACCTGTGCAGATGTGAAACTTATCTGTTTGATGTTTGCGTTTAAAGTTTAAATGTGGTAAAAATTGCATTAGCATGAGAAAAATAAGTAAAGTGTATTTTTGAACATATGCTCTAGATGAAAAGCCACATTCGTTAAATTCCCTTCACTGCGGTAGTTTTACACAAAATCTTAATGAAACTTACTGGGCGTACGGTTTTGAGGAAATTTAGAGGATGGAGAATAGGAGTGATTCAAATATATAGCTCTTAAATAGTGGGTGGACAGGGGGGTCCAAGACTCCCGCCTCCTGTACCTTGCACTCCTGGCCCCTACCTCTTTTTTCGTGGTCTCCACCCTTAAAACCTTTTAATTTCCCCCTATTTCTTCCGCTTTCTACCATTTTAGAACCCACACCACCCGCTCTTTTCTCTTCCCTCTTTCGTATCCCCCTTCTGCTCCCTATTCTCCGAGACCCTCACGTTGTCCCCCTGCTCAAAATAACCATGGGTATATATAAACAGGAAAAAAAGTATTAAAATTTAAAGTATTGAACTCCAGAGATTTAATTGAGCGCCGGAGTTATTGCACTGCGTTTCTTTATTGGGTGGCAACGACAAAAAATATGGACGTCCCCACCCTGAACCCCCCTCCCCCGCCCCCCTACCCTGACCTTATTCACTATTTTACGGGGGTTTTTTTTAAGTCATTCTAGGTAAATATTCAAAGAAAGCTGCATTAGTTTGTTTAGCTTATTGACATTAAATTTCGCTTCTTGACATAGAAAACCTTGCGCGTGTGTGCTGATGCGTACGGACGTGTTTCCCTGTGCATTTTTTTGTTTAGCTTATTGACATTGAAAAACGTGCGCGTGGGTGCTAATGCGTATAGACGTGCGTACAGACGTGTTTTCACAGAAGTTTATTTACATGGTGAAATCGATAAAGTACAAGTACAGACTATCTGCAAATAGCGAAGCTAATCGAGGCAAGTAGTATGGAAACGTATCGCTTACACTTAAATTACAATATTAATACAAAGAAAGTTACAGGATAATAAATATGATATTACAGATTAAATACAATAATTTCTATAAATATATTAATCATAATAAAGAGGATAGAGAAAGGATAAAAAGACGTAGGAATACTGGCTTACTATGACGAGTAAGGTATTTGGATGGAATTTGTACATGTCTTTATTGCTGTCATATAAAAGCTTATTTTTAGTTTTTATAGATTTCCGTATGCTCGAATGGGACGGAAAGGTGTCAATGCAGCGTAAGAGTTAAAGCTAAAAGGAATAAATGTCATGAAGGCTAAATAAGGAAACATTCCAAATACTTTTTAGTTGGGAGATTATTAAACGGGATGATGTTGTTGAATTGCCCATGGCACAGAGTATAATATTATGTCCAAAATAAGGCAATTCGCGAAGCAAATTTTTGTTTTGCATTGCTTGAGTTAGGGATGACATTGCAAAGATATTGACAAACAATTATATATAAATTGCAGAGATGATGAGATGATCAGAAATACAGGCGAGACGTTCCTAACTCTGAAAGGGCTAGAATCGGCAAGCAAGCGAAGAAGGATAGATCCACTCTTGATCCAACAGAATGCAAAGTGATATTCATTCTTGAAAGCCACTGCATCCACATAGAGTTTTTGTATCCTGGGAGTTGGATGATCAGCCACCCTTGCGTTTGCCATGTTTATGTTCTCCTCTAAACCGATAGTCGTCGCGCTGACCTTGCTGGCCTGCATACCGCCTTATTATATTACTTCCGATCATTTCTAGCCAACTGCCTTGTAAACTTACATACAATTGATCTGGGGCCTTCCCGCGTAGAATCTCGAACGCGGGACGCGGTGTGCAATGTGGATATCGTTTAAAGATACAGACGCACCCATAGCGTTACATACTCTATCACACAGTCTGCTGGCAATTCTGCTGCGTTTTCCGAGTCGTCCAATTCTGGTAAGCCCCACGTTGAACAGGGGCACCCAACGTCAATTTTCGGAAAATACCTGTTCGGAAGACGGAAGACGATTTGAGATATAGAATTTTCGGAACATTTTTTGTAAAACTTCTTGCTTGTCTGCCTCTCCTAGGATTTTCGAACATCTAAAAAATAGTATAATTACCCATTTTTAACGGATTTTTACCCTAAAAAGGTCACTTAGAATTTTCGGGAGCCTTTTTTCTGGCTGAAATTTTCGAAAAGGTAAGTTTTGATCTCTATAATTTTCGGATCACTGGACTTTCAGCTAGAAAATCCGAACATATGAAAAATTTGTAGGGGATAAAAATATGTCAATATCTACCGTTTAAATACTAAGATACGTTTAACAATGCTATGTTTAAGTGGTAGCGAGTAGCTATAATCCTGAAGCTCATCAATTGTAGATTCTAGTTTAAGCAGCCGTTCTTCGATGTTTGTAAGAGATGCCCTCTTTTTTTTCTAACTGCACCTTGATAGCATCATACTCATGGCCAATGAACTCGCGATGCTATCACTGACATTTCTCACACTACGTTCTTGCTCTGAAACTCCGTTACTCCAGTTTCTTCAAATCTATCTTTGCTTCCCCGAGCTGCCTCTTTAGCTCTCCAATGCCGTTTTTCAGGGATTTTACAGGCATTAGAAATTTGAAAATCTTTCGTCAGTAACAGGTAAAATAAAGAGACACGTTCTGCTAGCACACACACATGCGCAGAGAAGATGAAATCTTGTTTTAAAAAACCGTTATAATCGTTATCTCCTCAAGTCAACAAAGTCTTTTGAGTTAAAATATTTATTATTTATATGTAGCTCTACTTGTTATCGAAATTTGTGTAATAATGGTGAAAAAACGACCTCCTAAATAAGCCAAACACCTCGTGGCCGCTCATGGCGCAGAACAAGATCTCCAAAACCGACGAAGCTCAAGCATCCGTGGACACAGAAGAGCTTGTCTCCTTTAACGAACAGTTCGAGAAATGCTGAAATTTAAAGTACGAGAATCGATACTATGATCGCTGTTTGAATCAGTTGTGATTTCACTCACGGCGAGAATGGATGACGTGGTTCAACCGGTTGCTTTCATCAAAGCAAGTTTGAAGTTTTCCCTACAAGACATTGAGAAACTTAACTCTGAGCTAGAGGAGGCTAAGGACGAGATCGATCAGTTAAGGTCATTCCTCTGAAATGGAAGCTACACTGAGATTTTTGTCACACTTTCAGTATGAGAAGTTAATTACATGAAACGTAGAAATGAAATAAAAAATGGGGGTCCCCATGCTTACTATTGAGATATGATGGATGAAAATACCCCCCTCTTCATGAGAGTATTTGTAGTCAATAGGCCATTTGCACGATGACATCATTTTACTACTACGACCAGAATCCTTCAGGGTTTTTCTTTTCAACCATAAAAGTAAAATCACTCGGCTAGTAAACCCCCTGCGAGAATTTCTACATCCATTGTTAAATAAATAAGTTGGTTGGTCTAATTATGCTAGAAGAAATACAAGGCCACACATGTACAATGTTTTTAAAAAAATCTTTTACCTGCTGAGCTAGAATTTAGGGAGAACACTTTAAATCTTAGAACAAAATTAATACAGATAACTATGATTTGCCATGTTTGAAAATACTGTAAAGATCTAACTTTTGTACATCTACTGTTTACGGCTACATGTTTACGCATGAATTCACCCGTCAATCAAACTAATTGTTTTTTTAATGGTTTCTTTTCTGACTCTGTTGAGATCACTTCGTGTGTGTATACTAAAACAATTATTCACCAGTGAACTTGGTGTTTAAAGCAATCTGATTGGTTCGGTATCTCGGGCTATTCAACAACGGTTCACCTCCTAGCGAGTGGATAATGAGCTCGGTGTTTTTCCAATTTTTGCAGAGAACGATCTTTCGAAAGTCCTCAGAATCCTAGGGTTGATGTTTTTAAGGCAAGAAAAGACTTCCAAAGATTCAAAACAGCGTTTTCCCTTTTACTTTTATTAGATGATTTTTTTTTGCTCGATGTCCGGAATGGAACTGGATGGAACCCAACTACTTTTCATTCGAGTAAAAGAGGCCGTTTTGTGAACTCAGCGTTTCCTAACAAGAATACTTTTGCCCAGAAATCGAAGTTTATTTATAAAAAACGAAAATAAAAGCAAATGTTTGGGGAAATTATAAGTTTCAAGTTAATTATACAAAGAATGCTACAGGAAAACGACGCCTTACCCCGGGCTACCGATCCCGCCATGTCAGCACTTCATGCGAAGAGCGACACAAGAAACCTTTTTCACTAACTTGGCAAGTTAACAGAAAATAACAAAGCTCTACTTTTCTTTTCAGTTAAGGAAACAATTCAAACTTTTAACGGTTCCATTTAAACCCTTACGCAGTTGTAAACTTGAGAATTACCATGACTTTAGGAATATTTATCTCTGTTTCAAAGACTAATTGTAAATTATTTACTGGTGTGATACAAGGTATTTACCCTGAGCCAAGTTTAAAATTAGCGTAAGCCCCCTCGTTTGTTCTTTTCTTGAAGCGGATGCAAGTTTTGCTTGTCCATTCCTCCATTCCCTGTTGGATGGCACTCATGGCACGGGAATCTCGAGCTGAATCGAAAATATAAAAAGCAACCATGACTAATTCAACTGCAGTAGAAGGGGGCAAGTGTTGTCCATTGAACAGTCTTACACTGCTTTCCAAACACCCGCTTAACAGGAATACCTCTTTACTACGGAGTACGACAGTTTTCTTTTTCCGGCGTAAAGCCCTTACATTCTAGATTCAACCCACATCCAAAAATGAATTTTTTAATTAGTAATCTATCTTACGAAGACTGTTTATGATGACGGCACTCCCAAGACTTACAATATCAAGAAGCTGATGTCCATTAATCAGCCTCCTCGTTGCAAACACTTCGATGGAAATGTTCTGCTTCAGAACAATTATGAATAAACGAATGAATGGAATAGCAATCTACAAGGTACATTTGCTTCCACACTTGCTATGCTAAATTAACATTTATCTAAAGAAAAAGAATTGAATCGTACATAGACTTGAGTCGATGACGTAAGCCATGACCCCTCCAGGCCACTGTCTGCCTTTAGTCGCGCCTCTTCCCGTTGGATTGTCTATATCCAGTCCCATTTCTGCCGCCACACGTTGATCAGTTGTCAGAATCATGTCTCCTTCATAAAGGTCAGGATCATACAAACCCTCATTCTCTACAATGCAAATTAGGAAAATTCTGAATGAATAAACCAGCACAAACCAACATTGGCCCAAGGGCGCATTTGATCATATTTACATGTATTTTGCGCAATATAAATATTAAATTATTATTATTATCAAGGTTAATATTAATAATCCAGCTTAAATTAACGTGACCTTACCAATACAAAACTCTCTGGTTCTATTTTATTTCCGGGGCTACGATAACGGCTTTTTAAAAATCAGTCCACGCAATTAGGATGGCTGGAAAATCTCACTCAAATCTTCACGACGTACATCGCTTCGTTCTGTGTACCCTGCTGATTGATTCATTTCATTATTTAGCCGTAGGTGCGGAGTTCTCTTAAATCAGCTTTGCAGTAGTCTTTGGACTTCTCGTTCTTGGTTCTTCAGTTATATTTTGGCTGATTAGATCTGTTTTCTAGAGATCCAACGTTTACAACTAGCGGGATCTTCGTCCACGGTTTTTGCAGTTAATTTAATCCTTCTCTTATAGTACAATTTGAGTTCTCAGTGAGTACTATCTACGACGTTCACTAGTTAGTTGTAATTCTAACTAATTCTCTACTACAGTTCCAC